TTCAAGCATTGACACTCTATCAATTGTCAATCCATCTTTACACACACACACACAGACACATGTATATTCACACATACTTAGGTAAAGAAACAAACACAAAACACAAAAAGACACAAACACACATTCACACTAAAACAGACACACACACACATACTGAATACCAGCATTATTCATCAGTAGTTTTCACTGAGTATCATAATATGTACATGTACATTACAAACCTCATGAGTTACAAATTTAGTTAATCACTTTATGTTTCATTATCAAGCATCATAATATAATACTTACCAGTTCTTCCCATTTTCTTTTGTTAATGTCCAGTAACCATACATCATAGGCAAGGTATCCACCCACCACTAGTAAGTATGGTCCTGAACTAGTGGTAATCAGTACACTGGAATGACCATATCTTCCCTCAGGCCATTGTACTGATCCTCCAGGATTAGGTACTTCCAATATATCCTGAGAGAATAATATATCCTGAGAGAATAATAAATTAAATTTTAATTGTAAATCCACAATTTGTGATCAAATTAATCTCGTAATCAAAATTACCCATCCTACAGTATTAACTCACCACTGATGTCTTAGTGAAACTTATCGTATACAGTTTATTACTGACTCCATTATCAGTATAGCCTCCAAACATTACCGCAGTGTTATTAGTAACTGGTGTTAGAGTGAAGTCCTCAATAGGAGGTGGTCTGTCTCCAGTAACAACAGGAGATATCCATTGATCTAATAATAATGTACAAACATTCATGTACACTTACTTACCACATACACACACATACATTATACACATTCATCATACATATGTATGTGTATATGTGTGTACATTATTATTTATACATACACATCATGCATAGACACACATCACTATCACATGATACACACACACACAAACACAGATACACTCATGTATGGATACACACACCAAATGATAATAAATGACATGAACCTACACACACACACTCATGTCACATTAGCTTATGTATAGATACATGTACATATACAGACATCACACACACACAGATACATGATAATACTCACACACACATAACATGCACATTATAGATACACGTCACATACACACGTCATACATTCATAAATTCTCACATACATTATATGCACTATCATACACAGACACATCATAATGTATGTATTAGTACACACACACACGTCACATATAGACACACGTCACCATCACACACAAACACATGACACACAGAGACACACTAACAAACACACTTAATTATTAACAATCTGTTTTATGTACATTAATATAAATTATTCAGTTTGAAATACTCATCAACTATTGTGTATCGATGATGAGAATTACTGACCTGATGAAATCCTGTAATAATGTATCTCATTACATCTCAAATCATCATAATAATTATTATACTGAGCGTTAGGTTGCTTTGGAGTAGAAGATGATCCAAGTCCTCCGATTATTACGAGATAGTGTTCACTGTCAAAATGAACTGACACCATTCCACAGTAGGCCTTCTTCATAGGACCATGATCAGAACTAGAAGGAGAGAGTTCTCTCCACTTCAATGAATCCACATTGAAACAATGTAAGCTGTTTTGATAATCACGAACACTACATCCACCGAAATAATATATGTCC